GCCCTATATTTAAATGTTTTAACAAAAACAGAATAATTAATTATTCTAAGGTTCCCCAGTAACTGGTGTACCAGTGTTCCCCTAGTAACAATTAAGCAATAATTATCAATTCATAATCTCTGTGTTTAAAGTTAGTGTTAAATGATCAAAAACAATTTTGATTTAAAAATAACTTCTCAATAGTTTTATACAAATACATTCGATTTTACTTGTATACTAGCTTTTTTTTTTAGCTTGGTGATCATAATTATACATCTCCAGGTGATACTGATGTTTTGACAGTCCAGGGACCCTACTTTGATAATCACTGATCTAGCTTTTATCTGAATACTTCTAATGCTTTTATGAGGACACAGTGAAATTTTCATTATTAGAAACTCTCATTACACAAGGCAAGTGGATCTCTTGAGCCCAGGAGTTCGAGACCAGCCTGGGTAACATGGTGAAACCCCATCTTGAAAGAAAGAGAGAGAGAGAGAGAGAGAGCGTGGGGGTGGGGGGGAAGGAAGGAAAGAAAAAAGAAAAGAAAAGAAAAGAAAGGAAAGGAAAGGAAAAAATAAAAGAGAAAGAAAAAAGAGAAGAGAAGAGAAGAGAAGTAAAAAGGAGCAAAGACAGAAAGAGGCTGGGCGCAGTGGCTCACACTTGTAATAATGGTACTTTGGGAGGCCGAGGCGGGCGGATCACCTGAGGTCAGGAGTTCGAGACCAGCCTGGCCAATGTGGCGAAAGCCCATCTCTACTAAAAATACAAAAATTAGTCAGGTATGGTGGCGGGCGCCTGTAATCCCAGCTACTCAGGAGGCTGAGGCAGGAGAATTGCTTGAACCTGGGAGGCAGAGGTTGCAGTGAGCAGAGATCATGCCACTGCACTCCAGCCTGGGCAACAGAGCGAGACTGGGGGAGACACTGCGAAAAAGACGGAGGGGAGGGGAAAGGGAGGCAGGAAAAGGAAAAAAGAAAGGAGAGAAGGAAGGAAGGAATTCTCATTAGAGAACATTCAATGTAAAACCAGAAGCTCCCATTTCTTACAGTTTTTCTACCTAGAACAACACAGAATACTATTCTTTCTCATATATGAAGGTCACTCAATCTGAAGAAAACTCCCTATCTTTAAACTTACCTTCTCCAAAATAAGACTCACCAATTTCTTCAACCACATCTCACTCTCTAGACTACTGAAGGCTTTTATCATACCTTATAGACACTATAGTTCTTTGTGTCCCCTTTAATACATGGCACTTACAATTTAACACAATAAAAAAGTCTTAAATCTCAATAACAGTGTACATGTGGCTTATTAATCTACTAAATATCAGCTTTGTAAGTACACTGGGTCTTTCAACAACTGTATTATAGCACTTCCCAAATGCCAAAGTAGGTCCTAACACTTGATAAATTTTTCAATGATGCAGAGTAAATGAGAAAATACCAGTGTAGTAATTTTTTCATCAACTTAAAGTTATTCAAGTTAAATTACTCTATTACTCTGAGTTTAAGTCCTTCCTAAATATTGGGAGTCACCTTTAAAATAAACTGGTAATGGAAGATGGTAGTTGTCTTTTCAAAAGTCCTTACATGGCAAAATTAAGTTTTATATTTCACAATCCTTTTTAAAAATGTTGGTCTAGTGTCCTAAAATATGCAGGTAAAGAGGTTCATCTGATCTAGCTTCTGATATCATCTAGGTAGCCAAGCACTTAGAATAATTTAAATAATTTGCAACAACCAATCACAAGCTCCACTGATCACTTTTTTAATTAGTTTATTGCAGCAAAGTAAACCTCCCAATGGGTTCCAGCAAATAAAAGGGCTTCAAAGTTATTTAACACTAATTTCCAAGACTTCTTAGTTTCCCATACCCATCTCCCACTTACCTTTATGATCCTAAATAACACTCCAACCCAGTCAATCTGACTACCTCAAATTAAGAGAGGATTGTGATGGCAGAAACTTACCACCACTTTTTGCAGTTTAGATTATTTGCCAACTTTTGAACTACAAACGACACCATCTATGACAGGAGACAGCAAATTATGGCCCACAGGCCAAATTCAGCTCACCATCTTTGTGTAAATAAACTTTTATTAGAACATATTCACATTCATTTGATTACACATTTGTCTATGGTGGCTTTTGTGCTACAATTGCAGAGGAAAATAGTTAGGACTGACTATATGGCCTCTGAAGCCAAAAATATTTACTATCTGGTCTTTTACAGAAACATTTACCAACCTATAATCTCAGGGAATAAACTATTTGCTACCAAAGCAATATTTAAGATATGTAACAATAACCATTTACTAGCTCAGAACACCAGTCATCCAAATGGGAATATCTAAATACAAATATCGGTATATCTGAAGTCCTTTATCCTACTCTGTATGAAGATTTTGTTGCCCACCCAAGACAGAGCACTTACTTACCTGCTCAGTGAGCTAATCTTTAACATATATTTCTCAAGGACTCACTAGCAGAATAGTGAAGAATCCATGAATATGTTGCTCTGTGCAATCTAAGGTAAAAAAAAAAAAGTTGCTACAAAACACTCAAAACTATATAATAAAGAAGCAACTGTATAGAGCTACATAAGAATTTCCTTTATATTTTAGATTCCAAATACAAAACTTTTAAAGGCACTTAAAGTAGAAAAGCTTAAGTTCAACATTTTAGGTAATATTAACTGCATTAAATAATATAAATTAAATTTCCTTTTGTGTTAAATAACAAGATTTTCGTTTCCATCTGTGTGAAGTTGAAATCAAAAGATAGTATCTCTACACTATTCATGTAGCTATTAAAAATAAATGACACTGGAACCTCTAAAAAATAAAGTCACAATATCAAAGTACTTTGAAACTAGAAAGCACTTAAGAGATCCCTCCACATTATACAAATGAGAAAGTTTCAATATGACATGAAACACTTAAGTTCAGAGAACTAATTAGTGGCCAGAAACAGAACTAGAATCCAACACTCAATCATCAGTTTGGAACTCTTTCTACTTCATGACCAAGTATGCTGATATTCTAGGAAAGCGTAGTGTGATGCTGAAATATTCTGCAGGTTTGTTTGTTTAGAGGGTTTTGGGGGGCTCACCACATTGCCCAGGCTGGTCTCAAACTGTCAAGTGATCCTCCTGCCTGCACGCTCGAGGTAGCTGGGACTACAGGTGCATACCATCATGTCCAGCTTCTAGAGTTTTAAAAGTGCAAGAACCATACTTGTACTACAGTCCAACCAACTTAGGCAACCCTCTTGTCTTTTTAAAAATCAATCAACTATAAAATTATAGAAAGACAAAAATGATTAACTGTAAAGCAACTCTTATTAGAATGATCAAAGAAACAACCGATTATGTTGTTATGCTAACCAACTGTCAAAGATCAACAAAAAATAATGATACTGAAGGGGCAGAATGATGGGTACTCATATATTGTTAATTTAGCACAATCTTTCTAAAGGGTAATTTGGAAATATTTTGAAGGGCCTAAAAAGTTCTCACTGTCTAAACCACTTACTCCATTTACATAAGTATATCATAAAGAAAGAGCCTAATATAGAGACCAAATTTTAAAAAAAGGATGTCTATCTCACTATTATTTATAATGGTGAAAGATTAGAACAACCTAATATCCAAAGAGAGAAGTAAATTGTGGCATATTCATACAATAGAATATCAGGCAGCCATTTTTAAAAGTCACATTTTCAAAGACATGAGTAAATATTCATGAAGTTAGTTTATAAAAAACAGGGTACATAACTATATGGTCAGTATAATCTCAAGTTTGTTATTACACACACACACAAACATGTACACACACTCATACATAGAAATAGCATAGACAAAGACTGAAAGGAAATACAGAAAAATATTAACAGGGTTATCTCTAGGTGGTGAGATTGCAGATAATTTTTTCTCTTCTTTATAACTTTTCAGTATTTTTCAAATTTTTTATAATAATCATGTATTAGTCTTATACTCAGAAAACATTATTTTAAAAATTCACTGTTGTCAATTTTAAAATTTTTATAGTTCATATTAAACAATAAATATTAATCGTACTCAAAAGTATATCTAAATTATGGAAAATAAATCACTAATGTGTAAGAGTATACTTTCCACACATACATAGGTGGGCAACTTTGAATCTAAAAGGTAACATTATTTTATTTCATTCGAGCATAGAAAGTTGATATTTAATAAATAAGAAACGTAAATCTTTAAATAAAATTGGTGCAAGGCATCTAAAAATTGTGCTACTCTGGCATAACACTGGAGATATAAACACTTTCTCTAATATAATGTAGACACTCAGTGTTAGGTTAAAATAGGAATAATGCAGTACATACATGGTGACTGAATTATTAAGTGAATTATACCTTTTTTTTTTTGGCCAAAGTGACTAGAATTGGTCTATGCTAAAGAAAGAAAGTAATACAACACCATACCATTATTTTAGTTGGAAGAGCCGCACCAAAAATCATGACAAAAAAATTGTGTAACCATAAGAAAATCCAGTGGCCTGTTGTTGTTGATGACGTTAATGATCTCTTGCTAAAAATTCAAGTAAAAGAGTCAAACTGCTTAAAGTATTAAAAAAGCACAGCAGTGTATGGTCTGCAATGATTTGAAAAACACTAAGAACACACTTCAATGTTTCCTCATTTGCAGACTATCAAACATGATCTTTGAAGTCAAGGATTGCATCTACGTCCTTTTACCAATCTTGAATATATATTCTGTTACAATATAGTAATGACACAAAGGGATGTCACAGACAAAAAGGCAAACTGCATGTAATTTAAAAAGTTAACTTTAAGATTATATGATTCTAATTTCTGATTTTTAAAAAATCATATAAATATATAAAATATAAAATACATCCTAATATATTTTTACATAAGAGCTGAGGTTTACCATTTTTAACAAAAATTCTGAGATGGAATTAATAAAAAACAATTTTCATATATACCACAGAGCAATAAGTTTAAATCAGACTATTTTGAGTTGTGTAGCCCTTTATTAGCAACTAAAATAGAAGGTATCTGTTGTACAACATGGGTAGTAATTGACTATAACTGGAGATTTATTATATTCTAATACAGATCATTTATAAATGCAATTTCTTTATTAAAAAGCTTCCACCTTTTTGTTTGTTTGTGTACAATTTGCAAAACTATTCTGAAAGCGGAATATATGTGCACAAGTCTGCAAAGAGTGCAAATTTAGGATATGGTAAATGCTTTACAAGTTACTTTCAAAAAACTGTCTGCCACAACTGAGCCTTTACATTGTCATCTTTTTTGATGAAAATATTTTGATGCCAGCCTTCCTTCCACTGCCCTAAACTATAAAGCATTTTTTAATGAGTTGAAATTAAGGAAGGACTACACCTACTAGAAAAAAAGAGAAGAAAGTTCTATTAGTTTGAGGTTTCAGAATCCCCCCAAACCAGGACCAGTATCTTGGTAAAGGCTAGGCTGGGACCCCGGACAGAGTATGAGAATGTGCAGGTGGCATCCCTGAGGATTCAGAGCTTCAGTGGACTGTGAGTGCTCCAGCTGCATAACTCACTGAACTGTCTTGCCAGTTTCTACACTGGCTTGACTGGGCATAATTCAAAAAGGAAAAGCTCATATTCATTCCATTCTTCTGGAGCTCTGTGATAGCCTAGAAAAAAGAAAAATTTAGTTAGGACACACATCACATAAAAAACTGGGCACTCAATGTGTTTGTGGTTTGACTTTGTCCACTTCACAGCTGAAGCCTAGATATCTCTTTTGCTCTTTTGTTACTTGAATTTCTCTTGTTGTATCATATTAAAATAGAAAAAAAAAAAAAAAAAGAATTCCTTATCATTCTCTCAAATAACTTCTAATTTTGTTTCTTGATAATTAAGCATCAGTCATCATTTACCCTCTCTCTCCCTGTAATAAGGCCATTTTTTAAACCCTTTTTAACTTTTTAAATATATTCTGTTCACTGTATAAACCAAATCCCTGGCCACTTCTGTCTTAAGACATCAGAGTCTTTATCTGACTTTGACTAAATTTGAAATGTACATAAATTAAAATCCAGATCTAAAAGGTATATGCTAGGATTTTTACTTTAATTGTAGATTGGTTCAGCATTTACTTTATAATAAAAATTTTATTTGATTCAATTAAGATTTTAGGAAATTAGTACAGTTTATTCTAGCTTCAATTTCAAAAATTAGTTTAAGTTGAAAAGCTTTTTTTTGAATCAATCAATACAGTTTAGAAGAAAAACCCTTCCTAAAAACTCACTATATATTACCTTTCAAATCACATTAAAATAATATTGAACTTAACGTCCTACCTTAGTCTATTCTGGACTATATTATCTTCTCCATTATTTCCCTGCCTCTCCAAATGAGCCCATTGTTACTTTCTCCTCCCAATCCTGAGTATACACTTTCTTCTTTCTTAATGAATGTCATATTTTCATTCTTCTTGAATGAAAATTAATAGTTTTCCTAATTAGAAGAAAAAAATAATGCTATTTCTCTTTCTAAAATCTAGCTAACCAAAACTTCTGACTCTTATCATTCTTTAACTGAAGTAAGCGTTATTTTTGTTTTAATGAGAAAAACACACATCATCTGTCTTGCTTTATCACATTATGAACATCTTAAGTTTAAGAGCAGAATCTGCCATTTATTTTTTATATAAAAATCTTCCATTTTTATTTTTTATTTTTATAGAGTCTAGACCACTAAATAAAACCAAAAAAGTAGTAAGACCATATATCTCATGTTGGTTTGTATTTATAAAGAGCATATTGGAACTAAGAGTCAAGAGAAAATGTGGGTCTCTATTCTAAATAACTTTCTGTATTTAACAGAAAGTATGGAACTGTATTCCAATGATAAATAACTTTATTCAAGTAACCAAAAGCAATGGAACTCCAAATTATATTAAAGATACTAAAAAGAAACTTGACCATAGGCACATAAAACCAATGATGCCACCGTATCACAACGATAATGAGATATTTTGGAGTATTATATGACCAAATGTTAAAAGTCAAGGCTTCCTAAGGATACTTACATTTAATAACACCCCAATGGGATGTCTTCCACATATAGTATTATGGTATTTCTTCAAGTAATTGCTAAAAGATACAGGGTCTAATTGTTCTATAATACTCATACCCTAAAAAAAAAAAAAAAAGAGGAAGAAAAAAATAAAAGAAAAAGGACAATATTTATTATTTCCTAATTATATTTTAAAATTGTTACTTAAACATAATTCTTTAATTAGGGAGACGCAAAGAAAATAGATTAAATAAACCTTGTGAAACATCAAACTCATTCATCAAAGCTATTACCATTATAGTCAACTCTCTACTAACAGAAAACTTTTAATCCCCAGTTTATTTTCTCCAAACCCCAGGTATGTTTCTATACTACTTTAACCAGTTGTCATTCAGCTGACAATCCTCAAACATTTCATAATATCTTTCTTCCATAGAAAGAATACACAAAAGTAAATCTGCTGTGAAAATTTGTATATGAAACCTAAAATTTAATTTACTTTGTGGCTGTTTTCTCCATATCCGTTATATTCTTCCTGTTATTGGCATTAAAAATCAAGAGTTAATTGTAATTGAACTGTTTCCACAACATATACTTAAATATCAACCATGTAAGGTATTTTAAATCACTAGCATTAAATAATCTAGGTTTGTGAAAAAAAAATACCACAAATTAAGAAAAAAGTTAGCATATTTTAATTAATTTAAAGCTCATGATAAAGGCAGGCTTAAGCAACACAGATCTTTTTTTTTTTTGAGCTGCAGTCTTGCTCTATCACCCAGGCTAGAGTGCAGTGGTGGGATCTCAGCTCACTGCAACCTCTGCCTCCTGGGTTCAAGCAATTTTCCTGCCTCAGCCTCCCAAGTAGCTGGGCTTACAGGCACACACCACCACACCCAGCTAATTTTTGTATTTTTAGTAGAGACCGGGTTTCACCATGTTGGCCAGGCTGGTCTTGAACTCCTGACCTCAAGGGATCTGCCCACCTCGGCCTCCCAAAGTGCTTGGATTACAGGCATGAGTCACCGCACCCAGCCTACAACACAGATCTCTTATGAACAAGATTAACAATAAAGGAAAGCTTTTTATCTCTTTATTCTTTAAGCTAGAATGCCTTGTTTTCACATCTTAATACAGAATAAAATTTGTCAGACTATTGTAAAAACAACCACTATGACTTGAACATTAGTTTATACTAAATTCTACAATCTCCAAATACATTCAAATAATGTATTTACAACTCATTAATATATAGCAACTTTAACTCATCAAGTCGGGGAAATAAATCATTGATTCTAGCTGATTATACATACACCAATTATATTATTTTCTTACTCAGTTAAAACACTTTCTATTAAATAAACTGGATTCATACTCTCTGGGAGAAACCTGAATGGTGGTTTAGGGACTTAACTGGTTATTTTGTGTTTTTGTTTTTATTTCACATTTTAAAAAAACAGACACAGTGTAAAAGCACCAAAAGTAATCAAATAAACATCCGTTAAAACCAAAAGTCATCTGGAAAATGATAATCAGTGGGTAACATAGAAATTTTACAGTGGCAGCATCAAAATTTAATTCTATAAAAAAACTTTCCTTCAGAATATTCAACTCCTTCACAAACATTATCAATATTCCATATATATATATATATATATATATTTGAAACATAGACATATACATGTGCAATCAACTTTGAATTGCTTGCACATCAATTAGCCACTCTCGGATTGGTCTACAACCAGTTTGTAATGCTAAGTTGGTTGTTCCCTGCCAACCACAGTGCTTCCAGGTCAACACTCTCCACTGACACTTGGTATATAAGCTCAGAGAAATACAAACTTAAAAGTTAAACCTAACATGGGCCAGGCATGAGGTGGCTCATGCCTATAATCCCAGCACTTTGGGAGGCTGAGGCGGGTGGGTCACCTGAGTTCAGGAGTTTGAGACCAGCCTGGCCAACACGGTGAAACCCCATTTCCACTAAAAATATAAAAATTAGCCAGTCATGGTGGCACACGCCTATAATCCCAGCTACTTGGGAGGCTGAGACAGAATAATGGCTTGAACCTGGGAAGCAGAGGTTGCAGAGACCCGAGATTGTGCCACTGCACTCCAGCCTGGGTGACACAGCAAGACTCTGTCTCAAAAAACAAACAAACACACATACACATACACACACATACACACACACATACACAAAGTTAAACCTAATATAAATAATATCATAATTCTGATGCCAAAAACATTACAGTACATTTCTAACCCAAGAATGGATGGCACTAATGCAGAGATGGAATTATAAATCTCTTCCATAAATAATGGATGATCAAGATATAACTTCCCTAGAGCTAAATGAACAGAGGCCCAAAACAGGCAAAAGTCCTGGTTCTAAATTTCTAATTGCAGACTCTTTCTCACTGACTATTCTGATGTATTAGAGTATAACAAGACTCAAACTAACAATTCTTTGAACACTTACATAGCTACAACTTGCATACATATTGTAGGTGAACTTTTAATGCTCCGGAATGAAGTCTATCTAGGACAGCTTACCTTAAATATAAATCACAATAATGTGACACCAAGATTCTAATGTACATTTTAATATTAAAATCTCAAAGCACATTCAGAACAAACATCACATTTAACTGATATGAATTTAAACAGAAGAAAACTAATGATCACATTTCAGAAGACAAAGAATTCAAAGTAACTGGTCAAGAAAACCTAACAGAAAAACAGGAAATTAAATGCAGAAAAGATACTAGTAAGTAAAGAGTTAAAAATGAAGATATACTGGTTAAATTACGAGAGAAAATAAAAAATTGATATGATAGGAGTTAAGAAATTAAATGTGCAAAAATTTTAATTCTTTAAAGTGTGCTATAAACCTACTAGTGCAAAAATTAATTCAATTATACTTAATTAGCTGACACAAGTGTCTCTTTATAAGGAAAGACAGAGGGGAAAACTAAGGCTTTTCTCATAGGTGAACCTCTAATTGAAAAATTCATGAAGTAGGCAAACAAAAGCAATAATGATAAAATTTAGAAATGGAACATTATTAACTAATACAGAATAATGGCGAATACACTTTTAGATATACCTATGTTTTTATGTTAACAGCTATGAGATTACTATTAGGAAAATTCCAAAAAGACAGAAATGCTACTTCAATGCTGGTGGCAAAAGTCCAAGACGATGAAAAAGAATATCCTTCCCCAATTATGCTGAATTAACTGTTTTATTTCTTAAAATAGTAGAAGATATCATCAGTGAGTCTAAAGTCCAGGCAATGAGAGCTTCCTAAGGCCTAGGATAGTGATAATTTGATTGTTCACATAAACTTGACCTAATGTGGAGGAGTGAAATGGGTCACTATACTATTCATTCAGCTCTAAGATGCTCTAAGATAAGGCAGACATAATAAACACCAAAAGCCCATCCATCAAGGATACAGGTTTCTGAGGAATTTAAGTTTCAGAAAGAAATCCACAAATTAAGGATACAGGTTTCTGACGAATTTAAGTTTCAGAAAGAAATCCACAAATTGAAAGCAAACTCCCTAAATTTAAGGGGTGAACCAATCTATCATTGTGTTGACTCTTCAAGTAATCGGTGAATGTTTGTGATGTCAAACTCCAAGTGGCAACCCTAAACTAAATAGGCAGTATTAACTGACAAAGCTCAAATTCAGGACTCTGATAAGACAACAAATTATCTTCCCTCTTTAAAAAAGTTTGCCTAGATTTAATAAAATGACAATCTAACAATTATCACCCAGAAGTAAATCTCTCCCAAAAGTAATAAATGCAAAGGAGTAGCAAAACTTTTAGAGGCACTTATGAAATAAAAACTAGAATCATTCCAACCACATAATTAACACCACATTATCAAATCATTAGAATTTTGGGTTTATAGTTTAAAGGATATACATTTATATTTGCAGATAAGTACACATTTAGTGACGTGGGGTAGGAAAAGGAAATACTCTAGTTTCTTTAAGAGGCATCAAGATAAAATCGTTAACAGTGAAAGTTTTATGGAAAAAACTCACCTTAAAAATAGCACTGCTAAGTAATGTACTAATAAATGGCTATCTTACAAGCGATGTTATAAAACTTACTAAGAAGCTATTGGCTTAGGTTCAAGAGAAAGAAGTGACAAATGAGGTGACAAAGGAACAATTTTCACTTTTAAAATAGTAGGAAGGAAGAAGAGTAGTTCATGTTCAAATTAAGTGAAGTAACTGATAAATTTAAAAGAAAAAGAAGTTACAACAGATGAATACAATGACATTTTCAGATTATCCTTGCTGAATCATAATTTGCCAATGTCCATAATGAAACACTGGTCTACACCCAAAAGAGTAGTATAATAAAAATGATAACCTATGACCATCTCATATGAATAACTATGACTAATATTTCAAGTAAGTAAAGTTTACAAGATCAGTATCTCCAAATAGGTTCTGCTTTAGTCACAGTAATTATTGACATCGCAAAGCACTAATTACCAAAGAAATTGGTCTATAGCCAAAAAAATTGCAAGACTTTCAGAGTTTAGATATCCTATGCTACAGTTACATAATTTTTCCCAACTACATTTGGTAGTTCATTCTATATTTTGTGTTTTTTCACATAATTAATTTCTAAGATATTCAAGTGCTAGATATATAAACATTTTGCAGTAAGAAGAATAGCTATTTTTCTTTTGCAACTTAGAAATGGTTTTATTTTCTAGCCTTGTAATAACTATATTTGGTAATAGTTTCCAGTTAAAAAGGACCAAAACTTAATTAACATGCTAATTTTGAACAGATGTAGTCTAAAATTTTATACTTAGTTTCTTTTTACTCTATCAAACTTTCAAAATGTATACTTATTACTGCAATTCAAAATCGTTAACATTTTTATAATGCTTATGCAGAGAACCATCCAAGTACATTTTGTCTGAAAAGATCACATATGAAAACTAAGATATTGGTTCTCAAACGAATTAAATTATTTATAATATAAAATAATCTCTTAGAAAAGAAATATGACAAAGTACATTCACCATCTGATTAATCAATTAAGACAATACATTATTTAAGTCTGCCTAACAGCAAGTGTA